TTAATTTCTTTCTAATTTTAGTAGAGACGGGGTCTCGTTCTTGCTCAGGCTAGGCTCAAACGATCCGCCCACCTCGGCCTTCCAGAGTGCTAGGATTACAGGCATGAGCCACCGCGCCCGGCCCATGTCTCATAATTTTTTGTTGAAAACTGGACATTTTAGATAACATACTATAGCAACTCTGAATTCTCATCCTTGCTTCCAATTTATTGTTGCTTTTTACTTGGTTAGTGACTTGCCTGGACTAATTCTGTGGTCTGTTTTTCCCAGCATTGTGCAGCCTCTGATGTCACCGCTCAATTTTTGCTTTTTTAGTCTTGCTTTCCAGGAGGCTGCCCCTTGCTCAGCATAGCTTAGTTGTCAACCAATAATTGGTCAGAGGTTTTGCTTAAACACCTTGAGCCAGCAGGCATCTGTCTTTTGCCATGAGACTTGTGTGCGGCTTGGGGAATACTCGCAAAGTTCAGGGAGTTTACCAGTTTACCCTGTGTTCAGCCAGGGATTAGAAGCTTCTGTGTTCTCTTCAGAGCAGGTGTAGCCTTGCACATGCACATGGTTTTCTGGACCACTTGAGTATAAAGTAGGGCCCACTTTAGCTATCTCTTTCCCTGGATCTCCCTGATAAACTTCTGGCTGGTCTGCCATTTGTTTGCCAATGAGACATCTAGCATTTTTGACAACATCCCTCGCATGGATTTTTTTCCAAGCTCTGCTTTGAATAAAGTCAGATCTCTCTGATAGGAGAGCAGAGCTACCAGCCTTCATGGCTTGCCCTGCCTGCCCAGGGTAGAATCTGAAGGACCACAGAGCTGGAGAAGGGATGGGAGCAGCTCTTGACTAAAATACCATAGACTGTCACTGATCTTACTAAAATTCAATAGCTTTGCTTGAATAAATGCCTCTCAATTTATGTCCTTTGGTTCATTTCCAAAGACCTTAAGTAAGTGGGTGTTTTGTTTTGTTTTTTTACAATTTTTGTCCAGCTTTATAATTGCTTGTTGGGGGGAGAACTTGCTGAGCTCCTCACTCAGGCATTCGAAGAGTGCTCATATTGTTTAAAGATCAAGAACAGATATTAAAAAGAGCCAATAACTGGACTCTGAAGCCCCCACTGAGCCGACAGTGACATTTAGAACCACTGAAGAAAAAACTTCCGAAAATCAGGACCAGAGTTTGGGTCTCAACATCTTCAGGATTCCTCAATATGACTTAAACATAATACTTTCTATACTTACTCTTAAAGACTAAATAAATACGCTTCTAGACAGAGGCAAGATTAGGGGCTAAATAAAGGAACCACACTCAGGAAAGCCTAAAGTCACCCTACCTGGGCTCGCTCCTCATCAAACTCCAGGCAGCCCATACCATCCAGTCTCTGGAGATCAATCCAGCCTTTCCAGATAACACAGACTCCATTCAGAATCATGGGAGCCTTCAAATATACCTAAGACACAGAAAAGAAGGACAAAAATCACTGAAAAACGATCAGACACATGAAAATCAAAGAACTAAGCTTACTTACCTAAACTCTGTAGTTTTCTTTAAAAAAAAAAAAAAGAATATAATTATAAAACTAAGAATTACAGGAAAGTGTATCTATAAGCCATAGCCTCTGACCATATTCTATAAATTTATTTGACTTACTTGGATTTTATTTTAAAAATAATTCTTCCATATTGTTTTTAAAAGGAAGTTTTACAAAATATGTAAAAACTGTAGTAAGGTGATACTTGAAGTAGACATTTTTGCTCTTCCAGCTGAAGCTAGGACAATCAGACACATCTGATTTTTGAATTTTGGGTAGAAAGATATAAAGATGGAAAACAACTGAAATCCATTATCCTCTGAGGAAGAAAGCATGCACTGCTTCCCTCAACTTGGATCCCTGGAGCCACCCAGGGTCAGGCTCTTTATATTTCCCTTCAGTTTCACAATCTACCTCAGGACTTCCTGATAACTAATCCTTTTTTTTCTTTTTCCACTCCTTAGCCAAGGTTGATTTCTACTGCTTTTAGCCAAAGAACCTTAACTGATATAACATTTATTGTCAGATAACATTAGATAATGTATGGTTTATCCTTAGGTGTCCATAAATAATCCAGGACAAAACACTGCTTTTTTTTTTTTTTTTTTTTTTTTTGAGACAGAGACTCGCTTTGTTGCCTGGGCTAGAGTAGTGCTGTGGCGTCAGCCTAGCTCACAGCAACCTCAAACTCCTGGGCTCAAGCAATCCTTCTGCCTCAGCCTCCTGAGTAGCTGGGACTACAGGCATGCACCACCATGCCCGGCTAATTTTTTCTATATATTTTTAGCTGTCCGATTAATTTCTTTCTATTTTTAGTAGAGACGGGGTCTCGCTCTTGCTCAGGTTGGTCTTGAACTCCTGAGCTCAAACATCCGCCTGCCTCGGCCTCCCAGAGTGCTAGGATTACAGGCGTGAGCCACCGCGCCCAGCCTAACACTGCTATTTTTGATAGGGAATTTAATTCAAGCTATTTCACAGTCTTTTAAATATAGTAGAAAGTTTAAGGTCACTTGGTTTAATTATATATAATATCACTCCTAAGTCTAGAAACTGGTAAGTTAACCCAACATCTAGTTATTTCAACTCACTGTTGAAATTCTTAAATACTATAACAAAATCTATTAAAACTTAATAAAAACCTCCAAAAAAAAAACAAAAACCCCAAGCATCTTGAACTCTTAAGAGTTGGGAATGTTTATTCCTCACATGCAATATTAGATGAGAAAATTAGCCAGACTTCCTGTATCATATCCAACAACTATATCTGTTTATACATTACAGAAATATCTAAAATGAGCATCCTGGGATGTTGTTACATCTGAAGTCACTGACAAATCAAGTATGTTCACTATACTTTATGCACTGAGGTTAAAAAAAGGTTATCAATAAATTTTAGGTGTTCAAAATTGCTGAAACCACCTCGGCCTCCCAGAGTGCTAGGATTACAGGCGTGAGCCACCGCGCCCAGCCCCTAATAGTTACTTTTTAAAAACATTATTTCAGGCTGGGCGCGGTGGCTCACGCCTGTAATCCTAACACTTTGGGAGGCTGAGGCAGGAGGATCACTTGAGGCCAGGAGTATGAGAACAGCCTGGACAACACAGCGAGACCCCGCTGTCTACAAAACAAAAAAACCACAAAAATTAGCCAAGTGTGGTGGTGCACACCTGTAGTCCCAGCTACTTGGAAGAATGAGACAGGAGATCACTTGAGCCCAGTAATTTGAGGTTGCAGTGAGCTATGATGATGCCACTGCACTCTACTCCAGGCAAGAGACAAACAAAAAACCCCCCAAAATCCTCACATTATCATTATTCTCTACCTCATTTAACAGGAACTTCTGAATAAAAATCAGCATAGATTTTTATCATTTACTGCCTTGAAAAAGATTTCTAAAATGCAAAAGCAGGACTTAATGAGTTTTAAAAACTATAGGTTATCAAATATGTCTTTATCAATTAGGTTTTTCATTTACCTACATGAAACATATTCCCTTTGGATAATCCCAGTGCTTTGTGAGCTAAAAACTGCCATTATTTATTGCCTACATAATCTGTAAGATGATTTCTCATTTTGAGGAAAAAGCTGGAAGTACCATTTTTTGTTTACTCAATTTAGCAGTTTCTTCAGTCTTGGATCCTTCTTGTTTTTAGAGATGTTCAATAAGAATAACTGAATGCCAATAATTATAAATACGCTAAAAAATTACTCCTGAGATACCTGTAAAATAAAACCTAAGATCTATACTTTCCTACTACATATTTATGTCATTCCCCTTAACTACTAAACATAGTCATTTTTGCTAAGGGCTTCAATAAACCGTGTTGAACCAACTTCTACTTAAAAAAACAAAAAACAAAAGATTCCATTTCTCCTCCCATTTGGACCAAGGGAAATAGTCTACAGTTATAGCTGAAACCGTTTAACCACATATTTCCTTCTGTTCTGATAAGTGCTCATTCCCTTCCACACTGTAAATTTGAAACTCCACCAATGTGTACCTAGTCAAACAAGTGACTATGACCCCCTCATGCTCGATATCTCACAAAGCCTAAAAACAATACTCCTTTATATTTCATATCGCTATAACTTGACTTATGACACTGTTCATGAAGATTTCCACCTATCCACTTACCCTTCTAACAGGAGGAGGGAGTGTACAATGGAGAGTAGAACATTTCATCTACTAATGCACCTCATTTAAAATTCTCATGCTAATCATGAAGAGAACTCTTCTCAGCTGATAGAAAAAGGTCAACTTCACACCACTTTAATCAGATTTTTTATTCTTCATTATGATTTGTATCTTTTAGAATTGAAGATATCATAATCTCTTAGCTTATTCATATTAATGTCCATCATCAAAAATATTTTCCTTATGAAATTACTAAATTTTTTAAAAACCCATTTATTACTTTATAAACATTCTCCCATGACAAAGAAAACCACTGATCTGTTTGGGAAATTCCTAAATGGCTTCAGAAAATGGCTACAGTTTTTAATCAAAACCAGTGTCTGGAATCATAATTAAAAATAATATTTAGATGATCCCAGTGATTTATTTAGATGTTCTTATTCAAATAATTACACTTTTATGTGTAGATCTTCAAAGTAAATGTTTGGTGCTTCTATGCATTCATGCATACCAAACCTCAAACTATAAAGAAAATAAAATTCTGTCTCTTAACAGTTTGGCATTTTGTAATGTAATTCTATAATGTCATTTAAACACAAAGACATTTTTCACTGAAAATGATGATGCCTTATTTCAAACTTTGAAAAGAAAATTTATTAGAATATGACCTAGGGATTAAACCCATTGTCCTAGAACAATAAAATATTTTATTCAAAATGGATTTTATAAAGCCTTTAAAATGAGTAAATGGATGCAGCTAATCATACACAAAAACCACGCACAAAAAGCTTATCTTTCAGGGAGGGGGGAGGAGGGAGGCGGGGACGGGTGTATGCATACACAAAGAGTGCAATGTGCACCACCCGAAGAATGGACATATTTGAAACTCGGACTTAGTGGGGGAGGAGGGGCAAGGGCAACATACGTAACCTAAACATCTGTACCCCCATAATATGCTGAAATAAAAAAAAAAAAAAGCCTATCTTTCCAAAGTAAAATATCACAGAATTTGTTTGACACTTCACAAAGGGTTCAAAAGTGACTACAGACTGGGTGTGCAGGCATGTGCCTGTAGTCACAGATCCTTGAGAGGCTGAGAGAGGAGGATAGTTTGAGCCCAGGAGTTTAAGGCTGTAGTGAGCTATGATCAGGCCACTGAACTCCAGCTGAGCAACAAGGCAAGACCCTGTCTCAAAAAAAAAAGACTATATAGACTCACATTTTGTGTTCTTTTGTACAAATAGGTAAAAGTTTGACATAATTTTTAATCAACTAAAGCTCTAAATACTGGTATTTGCAATGTTATATTCAATCCAAATTACACATATTACTTTATCTTCATATTCTATTCCTTTAAATTCCCTATCATTCAAGCAGTAGAGCTTTAACAAAAACATGTTTGTACCATCAACAGTGGCACTATCCATACAATGGAATATTATTTGGTCATAAGAAGAAAGTAAATATTGATAAATACTATAACATGGATGAAACTTGAAAGAAATAATATTAAGTGAAAGAAGCCAGGAAAAGGCCACATGTTACATGAAATATCTAGAACAAGTAAATTTAGGGAGACATAAAGGAGATTAGTGGCTGCCAGGGGCTGGTGGGGGGCAGAATGAGAAGTAATTGCTAACAGGTATAGGATTTCTTTTGGGGGATGATAAAAATGTTTTGAAATTAGGCAGTGATGGTTACACAACTCTGAATATACTAAAAATTATTGAACTGTATACTCTAAAAGAGTGAATTTTATGGTATGTGAATTATATCTCAAAAAAAGTTTGCAACAATTTTTTTTATCTGTTACAAGTATGTGGCATCTATGAGACATCCAAATCAAGATTTTGAATATGCAGTTGCATATGGGATTCTAGCATTCTGAGACTAGATCTGGGCTGATGTTATAAATCTGGCAGCCACCACTAATACTGTGATATTCAAATCCAAAGGAAAGGAAGAGATGGTTCCCTAAGAAGTAAATAGGGAAAAGAGGGGGACCCAGGAAGAACCTGGAGGAATTCCAACTTTTAGATGCTGGGCAGAAGACAAGAATACAGTAGAGCAGGCTATGAGCAGCCAGTGAAGTAAGAGGAAAACAAATAAGGAGCCCAGTGGCTTAAAGGTTAAGTCATAGGCCCCCATGTAAAAGTTTCCCTTGTTGGCTGCATTTGATATCTTAGTATTATGTTATGGGATCTTAGATCACTCAACTTTTACCACTGCTTTTATTTAAAGCAGGAGTTCTTAATCTGGAGCTCAGACAACCTACAGGGGTTTG